ACGGTTTCTGTCTGAACCACTATTTTTAGACCTTATTCTTTCCATGTGGCTTGGCATGACATAATTGCTCTTTGTTCCACAGCGGTTTTATGACCTATGACCAGCCAGTCAAGTCATTCTGTTTAAAAAAAAAAAAAAAGCCTTTCTGATGCTCTCCAATGCTTAATTGGTTACAATATCTGAATTGTAAGATGCACAGATACTACAGGGATAGATAGATGCGTGGTACCGCTAAACCCAGGCGTACTGAGCCTGAGATTTTCAGCGAAGCCTAAAGAGTTTTGCTGTCATACAATTAATGGAAATTGGGTGTCATATGCCTTAAACACCACTGAAAGCCTTGTTGAAGAGGTACAGCCCTAAATTAGTCACCTGAAGTGACCGCTGATCAGAATAAATACAGACTCTAAGAGGGCCAAGCTCTCCAGAAAGCTCTCTGCTTGAGGTGCATATGCTCTTCTTCTCAGGGTTTTTTAACCTTCTCAGAGGTGCCTCCCCTTGAAAGCCAGCGGTGTAATCTATTTTGTCTTCCACAAATTGCCTTTAGGCATTTTATAATGGTTATTTTTGCACAGGTTCTCCATGGTCCAGTGCACATTCATCTCGATTTTCTTTGCTGATCTGGTTTTAATGTACAAAGACAGAGCCACTTTTCATAGAAACCTTATAAACCTCCTGTAAAATATTCAGAAGGGATTTGCGTGTTGGTGACAATAAGGACATAGGTAGCTGAAACAAAAATGCTTGATTGAAATGGAATTGGTATCAGGCATCTGTTTTCCCCTACCTGCTAGTGGAGAGAGAAGGAAAAGAAAGCAACTGCAGCTTCTTCCATGGATAAAATCTATCCCCACACATATTAATCATTTTTCCCCACATTTGATCATAGGAGTTAGAGCTGGAAAAAGAATCTGTCATGTAATCCAGTCCATTTCTTCCCCAGTGAATTCTGTACATCCCCATTTATATGCTCTTATTTTTTACAGTCTGGTTTGTATTATTACCAAGGAATGGAGCTTCTATTAGCAGGGCAATTTTACAGCACAGTCATGCTTGCCAAATGGGATCAAGTGACCCCAGCAAGAAATAAATCCAGCTGTTTTACTCTGGACTCCTTCAAAAAACAGCTGGATTTATTTCTTGCTGGGGGTCACTTGATCCCAGCTGACTTCTTGCCTAAGGGGTGGAGGGGTGACGGGGGGTGGGGGAGGCTGGACCTAATGAGCTCACGAGGTCCCTTCCAGCCCTTAATGTCTATGAAATTTATGAAATCTATGATTTTTTTCCCTGAGATTTGACTACATCTTCTCTCTCAGTTGTATCTCATTTCATAGAATCACAGACAATGAGGGTTGGAGGGAGCTCAGGAGGTCATGGCTAGTCCAACCCCCTGTTCACAGCAGGACCAGCCCCAACTACATCATCCCAGCCAAGGCTTTGTCTAGCCAGATCTTCAAAACCTCCAAGGATGGAGACTCCACCACCTCTCTGGGGAGCCTGCTCCAGCGCTTCACCACCCTCCTAGTGAGAAAGGTTTTCTTAATATCCAACCTAAACTTCCCTTGCTGCAACTTGAGCCCATTGCTCCTTCTATCATCTTTCACCACTGAGAACAGTCCAGCTCCGTCCTCTTTGTGATCCCCCTGCAGCAAGTTACTATTAAATCCCCCTCAGTCTTCTTTTCTCCAGACTAATTGAGCCCAGTTCCCGCAGACTCTCCTCACAAGTCCCTGAACCGTTTTCATCGCCCTCCGCTGGACTCTCTCCAATGTGTCCACATCCTTTTTGTCATGGGAGGCCTGCAGCTGGACACAGGACTCCAGAAGTGACCTCCCCAGTGCTGAATAGAGCAGAATAATCACTTCCCTCGATCTGCTGGCAATGCTCCTACTAATGCAGCCAATTTATCCCAGCTATAACCCTTTCACCCATCATTTGTACTCTTTAGGGGCACAAGAAAAGTTACAGTACTTCTGAGCTTCTCTCAACCTTTGCGAAAGCTATATACAGCCACCCAGCTAGCTGGGCATTGCTGAACTACCTTTGATGTGTTAGCATGTCTCTGGTATTATAGCACTCAGGTCTGAAGCCGGTAGTAGTGCTCCCCAACATGGCCAATATACTCTCTGGTCATTACATTGCAAAAATGTATATTATTTTGTCCCCCACCTCTGCAGTGAATGAGAAGAGCTTCTGCTTCCCAATCCTATGGCATGATTGCTATTTAAACACAGTCAGAAAAAGCATTGGTCATAGCTATGTTGCTCTGTGACACTGCAGAGTCATTGTTAAGGTGTTATGTTCTCTCCCTCCCGAATCTTTCCTAGAAACCCTGCTTCCTATTCCCCTCTTCTAATGAGCAAACTTCAGATTAATTCTCCTACCCCCCAACCAGATGCAGCAGACTGCATTTTTTGTCACTAAATCTCACATTTGTTGTTTTTCCTATTTATGTATTCTAATGTCTCCAGGTACCTTTGCATTACCTCTCTGTCTTTGCTGGTAGATGCAAAGCTTACTCCAGTGAACACCCAGCTCACTCCTTCCTGTTCATCATTATGCTGCATATGCTGTCTACAGCTAATATTTTAGTTTACACAAAAGTGTTGCTGTCCAAGCCAATTTAATTAATTTTTCCAGGTAAGATTTCTGTGCGACAGTATCTGATGCCATGCTAAACTCCAGCTCTATTACAGGTTCTTTTAATCTAATATGATAAGTCTGTCATAAAAAACAATCAGGTTTGTCTGAGATGTATTTTTTATGTGTCCTTTTGCTTCTGTCTCCATAAGTTGCTGAACCACACAGAGGCTGAATCAACTGGCACAGAAAAAAAAAAGACTTTCTAAGCTGTGCTGCTGATGGGAAGTATGTGCAGATGCCCACAAATCGAAACCCACAAGGGGCATGTACAGATGAGTGAGCGCAGAAGTGGCATATGTGGCGCCACAGGGGTCAAAAAGAAACCGTGCTGAAAAAAAGGGGGGTGCGTACATGGTGGCAGCACACACAACCCAAACCAGAGCCTGGCTGGCCTGACCCACACTGCAGGTGCTGGCCAAGCTCCCAGCTGTAGGACCACCATGGCTGCAGCTCCTGGAGGCCTCCAGGACCCCAGGTAAGGCTGCTGGGGTCAGTACAGTTGCTGGCCCCAGCCTCCTCTACCCCACTTGGAGTACGCTGCCACACACCAGAGTGTGCATGGCATGGGCCTTCCCCAGGGACAAGTAGCAGCAGCACACCTTGTCTGAGGGGTTCAAGTAACATTACTAGGACTAGAATCATAGAAAGTTACAGCTGGAAGGGAGCTCCAGAGTCACATCTAGTCCAACCCCCTGCTCCAAGCAGGGCCAGCCCCAACTACATCATCCCAGCCAAGGCTTTGTTGAACCGGGTCTTAAAAACCACCAATGATGGCAATTCCCCCATCTCTCTGGGGAACTTGTTCCAGTGCTTCACCTAGTGAGAAAGTTTCTTCTAATATTTAAACTAAACCTCCATAGCTGAAACTTGAGCCCATTGCTCCTTGTCCTGTCATCTGCCCCCACTGAGAACAGCCTCTTTCAAACCTCTCTTCAGGTAGTTAAAGGCTACTATTAAATCCACCTTCAGACTCCTCTTCTCTAGACTAAATGAGTCCAGTTCCCTCAGTCCTTCCTCATAAGTCATGTCCCCAAACCCCTGAACCATTTTTGTTGCCTGCCACTGGACTCTGTCCAATTTGTCCACATCCTTTCTGTAGTTGGGGGGCCCAAAACTGGACACAGGACTCCATATGTGCCCTCACCAGTGCCAAATAGAGGGGAATAATCACTACCCTGGATCTGCTGGCAATGCTCCTACCAATGCAGCCCAGGATGCCGTTTGCCTTCTTGGCATCAAGGGCACACTGCTAGCTCCTATTCAGCTCCTTGTCCCCTGTCACCCCCAGGTCCTTCTCTGCAGAGCTGCTGCCCAGCCGGTCACCCCCAGCCTGCACCGGTGCATGGGATTGCTCCGTCCTAAGTGCAGGACTTTGCACTTGTCCTTGTTGAACCTCATGAGATATCTTTTGGCTCAATCCTCCAGTTTGTCAAAGTCACTCTAGATTGTCTTCTGATTTTATGCAGCTGACCAGGGAAGTCGGGGAATTAGACACACCCTTAGCATCTTATTTTTGTGATCTTTACACATGGTGATCTGAACTAGAGAGGAGAGCAGCAGCTGAGTGGCTACTGCATTCAACCTAAGCCAGCAGTGAGGGAAGAGGAAAGCTGGATACCATCCTCCTGTTGTGCCCATGTTGAGCTGATGGCTGCATTTAGCTACCTTGTGTTGGCTGGTTGCTGAGTGAGGGGAATGTTTGCTTTGAACCCCAAACAGTTTGTAGCAGTGTCTAACATTTTGGGGGAGCAGTTGCATGTCATGTGCTGGGGGAATTCTGTAGCAGCCTGGATGAGGAAATGCACATGCTGTGCTTTGCTGGCATTTTTGGTTGGATTTAAGGTTGCATGCACTGTGGAGCTGAGCTGGTGTGTGCACTGTGCCTGGTGTACAAGTTGGCTGTGCACAATTAAGTTCTTTGCTGTGTGCCTTGCTAACCATCTTTGAAAAGGCCCTGTGTGGTAGAGGCAATTAGATATATGCCCTCTGTTGTTATGTAAACTGTATTTGAACCCTTTCTCTCTCCAAAAAAATGTGAATATTTCATGCATGACCACTGTCCAGGCCTTCCTCCTGGCATGTTTCAGGTTAAAAAATAAGTAGCATTCAGTGTCATCCTAGTCAGATTTATGTTTCTTGTAGTGGAGCTGGATATTATAACTAATGACTTTTTTTTAAATAAAAAATTATTGGGCAGATGCTGCCTTCATGTCAAGTTTGATTGAGCAAATACCAGTGAAAAGTAGTTCCCCATAACAAATTCATCTTATGGCATTGAACATAGCCATGTATCCTTGACAACAAAGCTTGAAAAGAACAGCAAAATAAATGCATCCATTAGGTTGGCTCAACATTACCAGGACACAATCTGGATTGATCAAGTCCTTCCTGCACATTTCAGCAGGCTAAAGGGTCCCCAGCTGCTTTCTTCTTTCATTGTTCTCAGCTCAGCCTCGTCATGTACCTAGGAAATGATATGCAATGCACTGAACTGTCTGGGAACAAGTCCAGAGCAAAGAAGAATAGCAGCAATAAAAGAAAAGAATATGATATCCTTTAAGCATACTCTTAAAGTTGAGAATACATGGATGTGTAGATGTCCATATATAGCCACTGACTGCTGCCTTGTGGGTGCTCATACATCAGAGGGGGGTTCTGTTGTTCTGTCTCTTACACAACCCTGTAGAGCAAGATCCTGTTCCACCAACTAGGTGTTTAAGTGGTACTTAGGCATCAAGTGCAGTACTGTTGAACTCTGCAGAAAAAAACCCAACAACGTTAGGGTGTCAGGTTATGTCCAGCTCAGCCTTAAGTGACCAAAAAGACCGTGAGAAGGGCACACCTGCATTCTGCATGATGGTTTTCCCAAAGACTTAAGCAGGGTTGAATGCAATTACACGTAAGCACTTGAATTTCTAACAGGCAGAAGAGGATCTGCCCCAGCACAAATAGTTAATCATTAGGGAAAAGCATGGAAGTAGGATTCAGGGTTCAGTAACCCGGTGCAGGCATTTTAAAAGGTGGCACAGCTCCTGCTATTAGAAAGGCGTTGCTTGCTGAAAGTTGCCACACACATATGTCTGGAAGTGTCTTCTGATCTTTCATCCCTTTGGGAAGAGCTTACCTTTCCTGGAAGTAGTTTTCCTGGCTCAAGGAAAATCCTATGACACAAGGTGGACTCTCTCACAGCAGTGAATAGATCATGCTGTGAGCTGGAGTTCCCCTACATGTAAAATTAGCAATAACTACCATATAAGAGATGAGGACACCTGATAATTATTGTTGAGTGTAGGCACTCCCTGTTGGCAGGAACTGTGCCAAGGAATTTCCTGCCCAGCAGTACTTGGCTCCTCTTTCCCTCCCGCTGTCAGTCTTGGAGTGGAGGAAGTAGCATTGGGGCGCTTCCTCCATCCTCTCCTGCTCTCTCCCTCCCTAAGTCTTTTTCCATTTATGTTGGCATATCTACATGAGACATTGATTGCGGAGCTAATTAGCTCCGCAGTAAAGCATCACCATTTACATGTGTGGCGCGATTAGGCCGCAGTAAATTGATTAACGCCACCATAGGATAATACTGCCCCACACAAGTGCTATCTTTTGGTAGTGTTATTTAGTGCACTGCACGCACATGTAAACACTGACTGAGGCTGGCTAGGGCATGAGGGTGCTACAGTATGGGGCTAGCTGCCAGGCAGCCCTGCACTGAAACCCCCTTGTGCCCTAGCCAGCCCCTCTGCAGTATGCTGAGCTAAGGGCTGGAGCACCTGTTGGTAGGGTGACCCTCTGGGGCTCCCTGCCAGTCAGGGCTGCTCTGACCCAGCTCAGTGTGCTGTGGTCCTAGGTGCATGTTTGAACACAGTGCCCAGAAGCAATAACCTCTGGTGCAAACTGTGCCTGAGTTTATTGCCACACATTAATAGCATGTGTAGCTGTGTCCATCCTGTGTGATCCACTGTGCACTCTCTCCCTCTTTCTTTCTCTCTCTTTCACCACAAATGGAAGAAGATGTGTGAAATGCACAAAGAAAGACTAGAAGAGAGAATGAAAGGGAGGTAAGGAACCCAGGACAGGTGCAAACAAAGAGGGAGGAAGGCTGGAGAACAAAAGTTTGATGACATAGCTGGAGAAAGACTCAGCTGGAACCAGGGCAGGGGGGTGGAAGGGATAGGAGTTGGAAAGAGAGAGTTGGACAGATTTTTAAACCAGATGTTTGGGCAGCCATTGCCTCTGTACACAGGCTGGTGTTCTCATTTTCTTGTTATTCTCAGTCATTCAAAGTAATGAAATATTAATATTATTGGGCTGCAGAACTGTTACACTAAAATTAACTTGGGTTCTGGGAATGGCACTCATACCTCACGTTGCGTCCCCAAGCGGCTTTGATGATACGCCTCATTTCTGAATATTGTAGCACTGAAGCTCTACCAAGGGATTGTTAAATGTTCTCATTAGGTTGCCTGCCATAACAAAAGAGCACTTTTAGAAAGCAATTTGAGGTATTGCATGTCTACACTCAGCCAGGTTTGGAACTTGGGACTCTGCAGAATACGCAAGAGGAACACAGTGATGAAGGGATCCTATTTATTTTGCCTTAGAGAATGCTACTTTCGTGGGTAGTTTTGCCATTGGTTTGTAGTCTAACATAAATGGAAAATAGAGCAGAGAGCCCATTTCTCTAAATTAAAGTCATAAGACTTAGTCAGAGGACCAGGTCCTTACTCAGGCAAATTGGATTAGAATAATTAGGAATCATCCTGGGTGAGTCTACACGAGACACTTACTGCGCATTAGCCTAATAACATTGTGCAGTAGCGTGGTGGTTGAAAATCATACTAATAGCCTACTGTGCAGTGTTATTAGGCTAATGCACAGTAAGAGTCACAAAATAACCACATGCCAGTGCTGCTGCACAGTAACTCTAGTTACTCTGCATTTAGTTAGTACTTTCTTAAGCTAGTACTAAACTATATGCGCAGTATCTAAGGCGCATTAATGAATGTGTAGGCATGCCGCTATGTAGGAAATAGTTACGGATCTCAGTATTCTTCAAAATTATGTATATAGAGACTTATACCTGCACAGGATGATGCAAGGTGATGCACCTGGGGAGGACCAACTGGCACCATACCTACAGGTTAGGGAACTCCCCTCT